CCTGACCTCAGACTTGCATTTTATTTGCCATAGCCTGTGTTCCGTTTTATCAGCCTCACTGTGACTAGCTTTCCACTGCTTAAAGGAATTCTTTTTACTTTTTACAGCCTCCATTACTCTGTTTGTTAACCATGCAGGCTTTTTCCTATACCTGTTTGTGCCTTTCCTAACCTGCGGAATATATATTTTTTGAGCTTCTAGGATCGTAGTTTTAAATAGATCCCAAGCTTCCCCAATTGTTTTGACCCTTTCTACTTTTCCTTTCAGTTTCCTCCCCACGTGTCCCCTCATATCAGAGAAATTACCCCTTTTAAAGTTAAAAATGGTTGTGTGAGTCTTTTTGGCCAATTCTCTATTTGTACAAATGATGAACTCAACAACATTATGATCACTGTTTCCAAGCGGTGCAATCACTTTTACATCTCTCACCAGGTCTTGAGTGTTACTTAGGACCAAATCAAGGATCGCCTCTCCCCTGGTAGGTTCCGTGACCATCTGCTCCATAGCACAGTCATTTAGAGTGTCTAGAAACTCAATCTCTTTTTCCCGGCTAGAACACATATTGACCCAATCAATGTGTGGGTAGTTAAAATCACCTATTATTACACAGTGTTTTTGTCTAGTTGCTATCTTTAAGGCATTCATCATTTTATAATCCTCCTCTATCTTTTGATCTGGTGGGCGATAACAAACTCCCAGTGTTAAGTTTCCTTTTGGCCCCCCTATTTCAACCCATAGAACTTCCAGAAGCGAATCCAATTCACTTAGCCTCTCAATCTTTCTAGACTTTATACCCTCTCTGACATACAGAGCTACCCCACCTCCAACCCTTCCCCCCCTATCCTTCCGATATAATATATAACCGGGAATCACTGTGTCCCACTGATTTTCCTCATCCCACCAAGTTTCAGAAATACCCACAATGTCTATTTTTCCCTCCCTCACCAAGCACTCCAACTCCCCGATTTTACCTCGGACACTTCTAGCATTTGTATAGAAACAGCTGTAATTTCCCTTACAAGTTAAGCCTGCATCCTTCCTCTTGCTATCTCGAGTCGTTGTCCGGCAGTCCATGTCACCAGCCATGGCCTCTGTGGACAATTTCAATCCACCTCCCTGTAGAAAAGCAACCGGTACCCCCTCACCTCTCTCAGATGAGCCAACCCGAACCAGAGACTTTTCATCTCCTGTCGGCTTTCCCCCAATATTCAGTTTAAAAGCTGCTCTGCCACCTTTTTGATTTTAAGTGCCAGCAGCCTGGTTCCTTCTCGGGACAAGTGGAGACCGTCTCGCCTGTACAGCTCCCTCTTGTTCCAAAAAGAATCCCAGTGCCTAACAAACCTGAACCCTTCCCCTCTACACCATCGTCTCATCCACGCATTGAGACTCCTGATCTGTGCCTGTCTCTCCGGCCCTGCGCGTGGAACAGGTAGCACTTCTGAGAAGGCTACCTTGGAGGTCCTGGCCTTGAGTTTCCTGCCCAGCAGCCTAAATTTCTCCTCCAGGACCTCACGACTGCATTTCCCCACATCGTTGGTGCCGACATGCACCACGACCACTGGCTCCTCCCCAGCACTATCTACCAGCCTATCTAAAACACGCGTAATGTCCGCTACCTTCGCACCAGGCAGGCAAGTCACCATACGGTCAGTACGCGGGTTCGCCACCCAGCTGTCTACCTGCCTAAGGATCGAATCACCCACTACCAAGAGCCCCCCTCCCACCCTGCTCAGGGATGGTTCCTTGGTGCAAAAGGAGAGCCGCTCACCAGCTGGGGAAGAGGTCCCTTCTGAGGGCACATTCCCCTTATCCTCAGCATGGTGCCCTGTTTCCCCTAGACCCTCATGCTCCCTGACAGCAGCGGGGCTGCCAGATCCAGAGTGGGACGTATCTAACAAGTCCCCGAGAGTCTTTTCTGTGCGCCTAACTGACTGTCTCTGCTTCTCCAGGTCAGCCACCTTGGCCTCAAGGGAGCACACACGTTCCCTGAGAACCAGGAGCTCCTTGCACCGAGCACACACCCAAGACTTCTGCCCAGTGGGCAGACAGTCATACATGTGACACTCCGTGCAAAACACTGGATAGCCCCCAACCCCCTGCTGGCATTCTGGCTTCATAATTCTTTTAAAATAAATAAATATAATCCCCCTTTTGCCTCTGCCAAGGTGCTTTCTTAAATACTGAATTACAGTCAATCACAGTCAAACAATGCCCCTTCCTCTCCTTCTCTCAATCAGCCAGGACTCCGCAACAACTCTAAGCGCTTCCCCACACTCCCAGACCAGTTCTCTTACACAATATCCTCAGCTGAATCCCCTCAGCTGAATCCCCTCAGCTGAAAGCAAGTAAAAAAAACAACACTCACCCCTCTGTCTCCTGCTCCTGCTCAGCTGGGTCTTTGCTTCCTCCCCTCTCACTCTCTCATTCTCCCTTCTGCCCCTTTTCTTAATCTCTCTCTCTCCCCTCCATGTATGTTACTTCCTCTCTCTTTCTGACCTGTTGTTTTTCTGCCTCCCCACCTCATCACTCTTTCTCTCTCTTTCTGCCCCCCACTCTATCACTCTCTCTGCCCCCATCACTCTCCCAGCCTCCACAATGTTTGTTTTGTAAATAGTGTAGGATTTATAAAAGCCTCCAGTGGTGAAACCCATTTAGGTATTTTTGTATATAACAGTCTCTTTGTTTCTTCCCATATTTTCATCAATGATGCTCTAAGTGTTTGGAATATTTATGTGCATTAGTTTTATCATACCATACAAAAGCATGCCAACCAAGTAGCAATTCATGTCCTTCTAATTTTAAAAGCCTTGTATTTTCCAAGGTTATCCATTCTTTCAACCATGATAAAGAAACTGCTTTATAGCAGGTGGAGCAATCTGGTAATGCAAATCCTCCTCTTTCCTTCTTATCTTGTAGCGCCTTCAACTTTATTCTGGTTTTTTTGACTTGCCAGATAAACTGGGTTATCAGTTTATCTAACTTTTTAAAATATTGTTGGTTCTTTAAAATTGGTATAGTGAGCATCTACATCATGGTAGGAGTGCTCTCCCTGAATTTCGTGTTTCTAAGTGCAGGGGTTTAGCCTAGGTGTTGATTTTAAGGTGAGGGGACTTTCTTTTATAGATATAAATGTGCATGGATAAGCTGAATTATACACAATGTGGATTTGTTTTAGCTTTCCATCCAATTGTATAATCTGTGAAAGAGTAACCAGGAAATTGTGACAAAATCTTGCAGCAGTGCGTGGCAGAGCTAACATCTTCACTGCATAGCAAGTCAATAACTAGGAGCAGACCAAGGGCAATCCCTGAATACTACAGGATCAGCTCTGGCTGTCACCACTGCAGCTGTGCATCGCAGATTAAAGAACAGCAGACTTCCCAGACATTTCTCACAGGGTGAGCTGGTCTTCTGTATTCACTCTCAGTTTACACTACATCCAAAAGATAGTGGTACTTTAAATCTTATAAGACAATATATAAGCAATGAACTTTGGACCACCAGTCAAACAGCTGTAGCCATTACTAGTAACCCTCTGACCTTCCTATACATTTACAATATTTAATTGAGCCGTTTATAGCTTTTAGCCTATGTTTTTGAAGGCTTGGGATTTTGTGCTTTACAGTTAACACTGAAGATGTCAAGTAGCATACTTTTCTATTATTCTAGCTATTAGAAACATTTCCTCTCCACATTTGAAGGAAATAACGCTTAACATTACAAAGTACTGTAACTGTGTCTATAGAATCCATTCTTGCATTGGCTCCAAAGGAGCAGGGACTTGGATGGATGAAGACAGTGTTTAGAAAGGTGGAATTTCTTAACAAAAGTATACATGCTTGTTGTAAAGAAAGTGGTGCATTGAAGGAGAGTATAGGTCAGTTTCCTAGCCAGTTCAAAAATAAAGTTTTTAAAAAATGGGATTTGTTTGTGGTATTAATCTCTGCTGGATACTTGACAGAGACATTCCCTTTTAATGTGCAGCAATGTATGTTTCTATTATCTAAAAATGATCCTACAGTTCATGATTGCTTTTAAGTTAGTGCTTTGCAATCTCAGGTCTAGAACACACAGGAGGATTCATCGTTAAAGCCTGACAGATACCAAACCCTGTTATAGTATTAAAACGACAAAGGTTCAGATCCCCCAGACCCATTCTACTAACAGTGTTGCTTTCCCCACAGCATAAAGAGCCTTTCCCTTGCATCATCAGGAGGTTCCTTGTGTTGGAGAAAAGTGCCGCCGCCAGCAGAATGGATCCATGAGATCTAACCCGTAATGATGAGAAATCATTATAAAAGTCTATAAGTTTAAATGAAATCTTCTATTGTTATCCTTGTCCAACACATAGCCTTGGGTAACTATTATTCCCATTTTATACAGGGCATCTAATGGCACTGGACAAGTCTGTAGATGAGCAGGAATTTGAATAAAAATCTTCATTCCTACACTCATTCTGGTCAATAAATTGTGGTATAGAATATGCTTCTTCTTCTTCTTCTTTTTTTAAAGGCATCTCTTTTTAAAATATGGTAGTGTCATAAATTCCGTTTGCCTTGGTAATTAACAGTACTCATTATTCAGCAG